AGGGCTGTATGGATAAATGTAACATTTGTGCTGGGGAAGTGCCTTACTTCTGACATAAAAAATGAGCGTGCACCTGTTCAAAGTTTTATTTTTGCAGAAAAGAGCTGGCTCTTGCATCAGCTGGAAAGCTACATGCTTCTCTCAATAGTGGGATACCCCCAGTATCCTAGTCTTCCACCCTCCCTCCTCCCTTCCTCTTTGGAATGGGTCAAACTGCTTTTGGGACCAGTTGTGTTCCAAAAGTATAGCACAGTATGTCCTGGCTTACCTGTGAGTGGGTAAGGGCAGAGAGCATAAATCTGCAAACTTTCATCTCCCTCCTCCCTACCCACCCCACTCATCTCACCTGCACAGGGCCTGGAGCCACCTCTCCCCTGCAGCCACCTCCAGCTGATGCATCAACCAGACACAGCATGTCTGCATAGGGGCGGCAAAACCTTAATTCCCCATCACCCCTGGCTGGAGAGTTCTCTTTCGAGGCAACTTTGACTCCTCACCACATTTTCCAGGCATTGAGCCCTTGCTCATATCCCCAATCTCCCCTTCTGTTTGGTAAGGAGTCTCCAATAACTGAACTGCGCCATCAGATGTGAGGCATTCAGATTTCAAACACCATGTCCTTCAATGGCAAACAAAGGTTACAAGTGTTTGGGGGTTTTTTTGAGTTTACTGACAGACTAAAGTAATAAAATCTAGGCTATCTAGTCAGTTCTTATTTAAGTGGAGAAAAGAACTAGTATAGACCAGGGCCTCTGCCTTGCAGTAACTTTTGTTTTGGGTATTTGCACAAGGAAGCCCAGGCATTGCTCTGACAGACACCACTTCCCAAGATTCTGCGTAAAGTGTCAAGAAGGTACTTGTTCCCAAGAATAGGTCCTGTCAATCTAGTCCAATTGCTAGAGTGCTACGAGGAGTCTCTTTCCCCTGAGACTTTCCCCATTGTCAGCAGTTAACAAATAATGCGTAATAATCCCACTGGATATTTTTAAACTAGTTTCACATTTGTCAGAATCTCTCGGATTTGTAAAGGAAAATATTCTAGTGAGAAGGCAGTTATACATGCTGCTAGTTTTTAAGTGTATTCAATTTGTGTTGGATATAAGAAAATTGACCGCTTTTTGTATTACATAGTCACTAGAATGCACTTTACATGTTGTCTAAGTTTCTTGCTAGATGCTTCAAATTGTTGCATTTTTGTTCCACTAATTTTGTTCCATTCATTAAATTTGGAGGCCCAAAATTATTTGTCTGAGTAGGATTTTGATGTATTGGTATGTTTAGTGCTGCAAAAGGTGAATCGGCCCCATATTAGATGGAATGAAATTGACAAGGTATTTAAAAAGGGATGATGCATTTCTAATTAGTCTACAGTGCCTGTAGATGGAAATTAATTATATTGTTATGTAAATGTCATGTTAATTAAGAGAGCATATTGGAAGAGTAATAAATCTGCAAAAGAAATGGGTAAGTTAACTATTTTTATGTTTTATTAATATTTTACTGTTACAAGAGAATATTAGTGAAATGTTAGTTTGATTGGGCCACAGACCATTTTTAATTAACTATTTGACAGTCTGTTTGTCCTAACTGATGCCCTTCTATTGTAGTATGTTAACAGCAGCTACAAGTTAGTGATACCAGGAGCCAAAAATAACTAGGCGCTGCAGGTGTATTAACAAGACTGCCTATATTTTTCTACATTTCCAGTGTTACAAAGTATTTCTCTTTGGTTGCCCTCTCTTTCAGGGCTTCAATATGCAAACCCAACTTATTTTCACCATAAAATTTGCCGTATTTTGGCTGCTGTAAAGCTCCAGTTCCTGAATTCATATGCTATTGTTGGCGAGTATCGGCTTTCATTATGTCTGCTTCTGCATCTCTTATTAAAGAAACTCAAACTCTTTAAAATCTCATGACTAAGCTAACTTCATGAATTTTGGATCTGCAGATAGGATAATGAAGTACATCTAAAAGCTATATTATTCTTGAGCTTTAGTCTTATAACATTTTGCTGTGAGAGCAATTAGCAGTCTCCAGCCTTTTGGATTATACCATGAGCTGGCCTCTGGATTCTTTCATTTGCAGATGTATTGTGCACATGAGCATTTTGTGAATCCTGGTTAACTCCCCTGAGCCCTGATTTCAGGTACTTATGTTTTGATACTTGGGCGAGACGTGTTATCTTTACCAAGTAGGTTGGACCACCATCCTCACTTATCTGAGTTAATTTTTCTATGCAATACTAATTTCAGCCCAGTGAAAAATATTCTATCCTATTTCAAAAAGTATAAAGATTTCTGCATTAGTTAACAATACAAAGGATTTGGCACCATGATTTCCATACAGAATAGCCGATTCAAGCCCATGCTACATAGTACTGCATTATGCATGATTATTTTTAATGCTGAAACAAAAAACAACTGTGGAAGTGCTTTAAAGGGCATGCCAGCTTTGTTGGTTATTAGGCATTGATGTATTTGCATGCAAATCCCAAGTTGTTAGTTGTTGAAACCCTAGTTTGGGGCAGTTCAAAACAAAACTATCTGAACACACATAGTAAGACAGTATAAAGAATCTTCTGTTACGTTTATGAGAATCCAGTACAATGAGGGATGCAGGTAGCTTATTCAGTTTTAGAAAATGACAAATTAGCATCCTACATTTGACTGTCTTCTGAGAAACCCAATTAAGATAAATCTTTACAATACTGTAAATATTTACAGTAATCATGTTGGTTGGTCACATTCATTTTCTTGTGTGGTAAGGCCTATCAGCTTTTATTTCTATTAAACTTGAAATAATCTAATTAAAATCTCTCTTTAAGTGGCCATAATACAGTTGTTGTATAAAATAAATTTATTGGAATGGCCTAGTCTGGGTTGAGCAGTGTTTACATGTAAATAGTTAATGTGCATCTGCTCCTTAAAATGGACACTGACGAACCTAACAGTTCTGTATTTTAGTTTTGTGTGCATTTCCAACAGAAAACCTTTTGCTATTTGTTCTAAAAATCCTTTGCAATATTAATATCACAAACATTGCAGCATTGTGTTAGAGCTTGAGTCAGCTTGTCAGTAGTTCTTCAAACAGTTGTCAAATCTGTCTCAGGATCCTTTCATCATCTTCTCTTCCCAAACACACACCACCTTGTAGACTAATGCATTTTTCATACCTTGGACAATAGTATTACTAGCGTGAATTAATCTGACACCTAAAATTTTTACTTTTTTAAATTCTGACATTTTCTAACCCATGTAAAGAAGTTTATTTTTTTTATGATTATAGCTTGACAGCTTTCCATTTAGCTTGCATTTTGATTTATCACACAACCACTTAAAAGATTACTTGGAAAGAGGGTATAAAATTGTATCTTTTGCATGAAGACTCCTTGGAGGGCCAGAGAACTGTAGTGGGAGCTTTATCAGCTCTCATTTGAAAGGCTGGCAGTCTGAAATTTTAAAAGCTCTTGAGATCTTTGTTCCCAAGTGCATTTCAGGGGACTGAGTTCAATAGATGACATTTAAAAGAGCAGAGTTGTAGACGGCTAATTAAAAATTATATTCTCAAGTCTTTCTTTTGCAGTGTTCTTATAATCCCATGAGATTTCTATCATAAACAGAATTGCCATGGCCCATTATTTCTATCATAAAAATAAACAAAAGAAAAACTTAACAGGAAAATTCAGTAAAAAGGGGAAAATGTTTTGTTTTGTTTTTTAAAAACAACAATCTAGACATGAAATTGTTTGAAAAGAGAAGGCTACGTTTGCTCTAGCAATAGTGCTGTTTTCAGGATACGTAGCAACTAGATGCCTAGTTAATAGCCCAGTTATTAGCACATTATATATCTGGAGTTAAGCTTATGGTAAACCCATTCTTACATTGAATTATTCATATTTTGATAGCCAGATTCTGCTAGACCAGATCTGATTGCAGGCTTTAGCTTTGTTATCATCTAACTAACAAAACTATGATGTATTATTACTGCCATTTACATTGTTGTCAATTTGTTTTGGCTCCAGTATATGGTTTTATTTGTCCTTTACTGTAATATCGCGAGTACCCTGAATTGGGTTGTTAGTTTAACAAGATCTCTAGAGAGCTCTTCCATGATGATGCATGTTAAGATGCTAGGAAGCTTAAAAGCAATTTACCACAGACAAATGCCAAATCAGTAGGCAGGAGTCCAGAACATGAAATAATTTGTCTACAAAAAAATGTAGGGTATTTGCTTGTGCTTAGATTATTTGCAAAACCATAGATTTGATCACTTCCAGTGACCCCACAACAGTTTAGCCAGCAGTATTCTGTCTATACAATTCTTCCAGAAGTTCCAGCTGCACTTGCCATTCTTATTCCCTTGCCTTCACTACTACATAGCGTTGCTATCTGCTGTTCCAAACGTACTGCGCTCCACCACAGGACAAAAAGTGATTTTTAGAAATGAGGCAAAATTCAGGCCTAGGATAAGGTGGATTCACTGGTATTGTCTGACCTCTTCAGGCCTAACTTAAACTGCTTGCAAAGTCCCTTTGGGATGGAAAGCACTAGAAACAATACGTGAAATCCCTGTGGAGCCAGTTGAGCAATCTCTCACTGACTTCAATGAAGCCAACATTTTAACCCATGATTTTACTTGTGGGCTACCTCCATGAGATCCTAGCTTGGTTAGAATGAACGCGATGCCTTTTCTAGCATAGAGGGAATGTTTCCAGTGTGTGTTCATCTGAAGATATTGCTAATATATAAAGTGTTTACCTAACAAAACAAACCTTGTCTGCATATCTAATCACAAGGTGTGGTCAGATATTAACGGGGAGGCCAGGGTGGAGAATGAAGAGCTGCATAAAAACAACTATTACTGCAGCTACTCCAAGACGCATTCAGATTTCAGCGGCTATATTACCCCAGATGCAATCCTGACTTTATTTATCTGTATGAAAGTTGCAAATATTGAATGTTAGTTTGTATGTTAAAACTGATGGTATTCTTTGTTTCCAGGTGGGCCATGCACAGGTACAGCTCATGTCTCCTTAACCACACCAACCAAAAGATCCTGTGACTCAGGTACCTTTTCCTTTGTGTTGGATTTCGCATAAAATGTTGCTGTATGGTAGAATTGGGTGTGGTAAATATTCCTTAAAATAGCAATGACAAATAAACCGTAATGATTTGCTGCTAAGTGTGACAACTGAAGCATGGCAATTGCTCATAATAAAAAATGGGCAGACAATAAGAATTCTCTCAAAGTTTCCTCTAACGTCTAAACACTTAAATTTACTGCTTTTATCATTAATGTGACATAATCATACAAAAATACAAAAGTAATCCATTTGGACAAAATTAAAATTTAATTAGCTGGAGGCTCTTCAGAAGAGGCCGGCTTTAAGAGTAATGTACAGAATTCAAAAAGCAAACCATTTTTGAGCAGAGTTGGCTACACCTTTCCTGATTGATTCCCCGGTCTGGAGGACTAATATTCACAACTTCTGTGACTAAGACTAGCCTAATTTTTCTCAGCTGTGACAGAACCCTCCATGTCCTGATTTCTCTATGTAGCTGTAAGCAACATTAGGGTTGAAAAAAGGTATTTCCTATTAATTAAGGATTATCTCTCTTTTGGGGATTGGTGTCCTTCATTGAGTCCTTCAGTAGATGTTTCTCAGTTTAGCACTTTGCGCACTGGGTCTCTCTCCTACAGTCATCAGATGTGAGAATTTTTCTGGTGTAAGCTTGGTGCGGCCTGCTCTAACAAGAAAGTAAGTTTGCCTCTGTATTCCTGTGCAAAGTAAACTGCAGTGCATCTGGTATTCCTAATTCCTGTTTTCCCTTCAATTAGTAACTGCTGTAACGTCTAACTACAATTATGACTAAAAGATGGTTAAATATCTTTCTGGATAGAGAATCTTGAAAAATGCTGGGAGAAAGCACTACCCGAATATTAAAAATCTGATCATAATTAGCAAAATGGCAACTAAGGTTACAGTTTGCAGTGCCATATGGGAGCAACAGTATCTCCTTAGACTAAATTGGATGGATTTACTAGATATGTTGGGAAATACTGCATTAAACGGGTATGGTGTCTTTCCCCAGTAGCTTTTGTACTTCCTGTTTATGCTAGTAATACAGAGAGATTTTTTTGGTCCTGTAGGCTAATATGTGTTAGGCTTACAGTGTTCTTGTAAACTAACAGAACTGCAAAGAAAGCTTGCCATCTTCTCTTCTGGAGTACAACTAAACAAACCAAAATGGTTTTCTATTGCTTTTGGTTTTCTTAGTTTTTACCAAACTGCTTTCTCCTTGTCTTCTTTTCAGTGATCAAGGCTTGCATTATTTGGTTGCAGCCTCTCATGCTGAGCCCCCTGTCAACAGTTAACATTGTTTTTCCATGTAAAAGTCATATGCAACTCACAAAAATACGCATATTCTATTATACATAGTACATAAGTTGTGTAAAAGTGTTTTAAATATAAATATAAAATACATTGTCAGGATTAATGCTTGCTGTTAGCATTTCACCTAATTTTGACAATGGAAATAAAGTAGTCAGTTTGGCTTTTAGACAGTTCCAAGACAATTTAATGTATTAGCTCTGATGCTTTTGCATCATGTGAGGAAAGTCTCACCTGCAAACAACACTTTCTGAGTATAGATCACAGAAAATGTTCAATGTAGCAATTGTCATTTTTTTTAAATTGTGTTAAAGCGTGCTTTTTTAAAACTTCACAAACATTTTCATTGCTGCTTGATGAAGAGAGGGGTATGCTTTTCTGGCCAGTGGTAAGAAATCCAATTAAGTATGATATTTAAAAGAGGTATGAATTGCAAGGAGTTTTACTGTATACATATAAAATTAAGTTTGGATTATGGTGAACTGGTAAAACTTATAAAGAAGAATACTGTAAGTGAGGGCTACTATAGGTGAGTATTTCATGTTCATTCAACATTTGCCATAGTAGCAGTTCAGCTTCTTTTTATTTCTAAGAAGTTGGTTAATTTGATTATTAAAAAATGTATTGCTCAATGTTACCCACTATTCTCCCTCTTGTAAGAATCCTACATTTCTGCTCTGTTGAGCTTTAAAGGAAGCATGTTTTAGCGTGAGTTCAGCTGAATATTTTTTTTCACTTCCAGTATAGATTTTCCCTTAGGTTTGCAGAATCAGTGTTTGAGACCAGAAAAATAGAAATCTGCCCTGCATATGTTAGATGCAGGTTTCTATCAGGAGAATTTTAAGGAAGACCTAAACCTTTCATATATTATTAGTATTTAATGTAACTGAAGATGATCAGAACAATAAATCTGTCAAGACAGACAAGGAAAAGGTGGTATTGGAGGCTGAGTTTCTTTTAGTTTTTATCTTATGAATGTTGGTCCCTTTGGGTCCCAGAGAATCATTTGTGACAAAGATATATAATACCATATATTGTTTTTTCCTCTTTGCCAAAGTTGATGGTGTGGGTGTCAAAGTATTTATATTCTAAAGTGTTCCCAAAAGATAAGGATTATAATGGAGAAGAGTGAGGAAGGTCTTAGAATGATTAGCTGTGAGGATGTCTGAGAGATTTTAAGGAAGCAATAGGGGGAGGATTTTATAGAAGCAAAGAACTTTGGGCTCTGGCCTGCTGTATGGGTTTTTGTGTGGCTTGGGTTGTCCCCTCTGGAATAAGAATTAATGCCATCATTAATGTCAGGCACCACTCCAGTAAGGCCTGTGCAACTCATTGTGGCATCTTTACTCTTTACTTGTGTCCTTGCCCTGACAATACAGTATCATGTACTATATTATACCTTCTTAGAGTTGCATAGCAGAAAGGAAATATATAAATCTAGTTGGGGGTGGTCCTGCTTTTGAGCTGGGGCTTGGACTAGATGACCTCCTGAGGTCCCCTCTAACCCTAATTTTCTATGATTTTAAATCATAACAGTTAAATTTCAAAGCATTTTTGTACAATTTGGACATTTCTGGAAAGGTTAATGGAACTCTGAGTGCACTGCTGCCAGTTCCAAATTGTGCTTTAAAAAAAGGCTATAATAGAAACAGAAAGATCAGGTGTGGTAATAATACAGCCAGTCTACATTATTCATCTATAAGGTTGATGGATTTATATAGATACGTTACCTCATTTCTTATAGGTGGCTCATTGGACTCGAGAATGCTGATGTTTCATGGAGTTGTGGGTTCTGTCGTGTTAGGCATAAGCTTGAGCTTGAGTCTCTTAGCTTAAAGCACAAGAAGGTTCCCATTAAAGTAATAGGACTACTTAGATGCTGACATTTAGGCATGTGCTTAAGTGCCCTGGTCTGATGCCAGACTGATAAGCACTTTGCAGGACTGGGCCTGTATCATCTCAGCTGACAACCTACTTGGGAGATCTAGAAGGACAGTGTGGAGTGCCAATCAAATGAATGGCTCTTTGGTTTTAGCTGTGACTGAAACATCCTTTTTATGATCAGGTTTTAACCTCCCTTATATGTCTAGTAAGGGGAAAAAGCTCAGGTCTACCATTAATTAGATATTCTATTGCTCTGCAGTGGTAACATGTCTGGGCTAACAATGTAACAAAAGTTAGTGAAGGATTTTCTTTAGTATAAAAACAACTCTGAGGGGGCTTTGTTGTTCCAGTTGACCTTTTAATGTGCATTTTTAAGTGAACTTCAGTGTCTGACTGCTGGAGGACATTGTGTTAGAAATCCAGCCTTCCTAGAGCCTTCTCACGCAAAGGCATGTGATGATAGAACGGCCACAGAGTTGCATTATAAATCACCCAGGCCTGGCAATGATAGTGCCCATTAGAGACACTTTTTTACCCTGCTCAGTTCTCGGCTGTACTAATAGAACAGCACATCAAGCAAGGCTGTAAATAAAAGTTATTACCTAATAGGTGGGCACTGAAGTGGAACGGACAGGAGCTGAGGCATGGAGGCCTTATTACCGCTCATCAGCAATTATAAACAGGATAAAGTGTCTGGGACTTGCACTGATGCAGCAAGGGCTAATAGAGGCTGGGAGATGACACTGTACCATGATCAAATGATGTATGTTGATGGGTTTTTACTGCCTCATCTTGCTGCCTATTTCTGAGATGAGTTGTATTATCCGTTCTATGCTCTCATATCTATCTGGATAGACAGATCAGTTTCCTTTCCTGCCAGAAGGTGTCTGGTATTTGCTGCACACATACTTTGCATTAGTTTGCAAGGTTGATGTCTAGGAGCATTTTGAAGAGTTTTATGATTGTAGATTAATATCCTAATTATAAGTACTGTAATAGGCTTGTCTGTAAACAGCTTTAAAGGCCTAATGCCACAGTTATAGGATTTAGCTTCAGTATCCTTAAGCATACACCTGTTTATTTTTAACCTGCACGGAAACTCATTGCAGAACCACTGCCCTTTAATAAGAATGGTGACTGAGCATGTCTGATAGTTCATCAGAATTCTTTCCTAGACTAAATTATGGCTCTGACTTCCAGTAGTTTGGGTTTTTTTAAGTCCCAAAGAGGAGGATTGTATGCTGAAAGCAGAAAAAAATTATTCTCAGCTATGGTGATCATGAGCAGTTACTGCTGTGTAATAGAAACAAAACCAGGTATGCCTGGATGACACTTTAAAATCTTGTAAGTATCTGATATGTGGCAATATTCAGGGGGGAAAAAAGCATTGCTGATCTTTGATCATTCATTTCCACTGAAATCTCAAACTTTTGTGATGGTTCTTTAGAAAAGTCAGAGAGGACGCAATGGCTTTGAAATTAACCTTTCCCAGCTTGATTCTAAAGAAGTTTGCAAGAACCCTGATAGTTCAGATATTAATCACTCATGCTGTTTGCTTCTGAGCAGACATTTTCTTTTGTTCAGTGAAAAATACAACATTTAGAAATGAAAAGGCATTCAGTGGCATGAAGTCGGAACAGCCTGCCTTCCTCTGTCCCTTACTCAATAAAATCAACAGTGCATACAGATTATCCTGTACCCTCAAGAGCTATTACAATATGAGGACTTAAATCTCTTATCTGCCTTACCTGAAATATTAATGTAAACTCTGCCTTTTCAAAATCAGTATTT